TTTTTGATGAGAATTTTCGTGCTGCCTTTTTCTTTTTTTTTACCTTAATGTATAAGTAACAGAACACAAATAAGATTGTTTTATCATTTTCTCAAGTAAGTATTACTTTATTAAGTATTGCACGCTTAGGTTATATCCTTCCATCCGAATTTGATAGCCAGTTAAACGTCATTTAAAACAATCTTTAGGAGATGTATCACTGGGTTTACTGCTTTTTCTCATGAAGGCCATAATCCTCATGTAAGATCTTTCTGGAAGACAGAGGTGTGGACGACCTAAATCAAGGATGTCCAGTTCTTGTCCTCGAGGGATGCTGTGTCTAGAGGTTTCCTAGGTCTCTTTAAAACAGCAGTGCCCAAAGAGCTGGGAGAAGCTATTAAATCGTTCAAATTAAGCCAGTAATGAGTTGGTTTAGCTAGTTAACAGCTGAGCTGGAATGAAGACCCACAGATACGCCAACTCTCCAGGACCAGCATTGCACAACCCTGACCTTAATATTAGAATCAAAATCTGTGGATTCTAAGGTTATATTGTGTAATATAAAAAACATTTTTAAACAATCATTTCCATCAGCTTTGTGTCTTCTCCAATTGTGAAATGCGAAAGATGAACTTAAAACTGTACCGTCAAGCATTCCAACAAATAATTACAACCAGAGGAGTTTGCCAACAATTTATCAGCACAGAGGCTGAAATGGACACTCATGCTGCTATTATTGAATATAATAAAGGATAATGGCGTTTTGCTCATAATTAAAGGTCAGTATGTTTGGAATCACTGGGCTGCTTAAAAAAGGGAAGCAATAAAAAAGGAAAGCAAACTTGGAGCTGCGCAGTCAACTGATCTATCTGAGAGTAGACGAGCTTGAACACGTACGTTTTCAATTTAGATGTAAAAGATTCCACTGTGCCAGCATTCCTAATGTAATTTGGAATGGAGTTCCAAAGACAGGGAGCACAATGACTAAAGGCCTTTGACATATGGCATGGTTTATAAGGCAAGCTGTCCTTCAGGTTTGTGTGTGGGAATCCAGGGAGCAAGTCTGTGCCGTGCAGTGAGCTGGAGCAAAAGCACATAAATGGAGTTGCTCTTTTCCTGCCTGTGTCACACCGGCCCCTACAGAGCACTCCTCCAGTCAGGCAAGGCAAGATGAGCAATGAACACCTCATAGGATCGATCTCCTGGAAACACCCAGTGTGTCTAAAGAGGGACTTTTGTTTCTAAACCTCTATTTAAACATGCCTTCGTTGTTATGTCTGCTTCGGCTTTGATGTTCCCATAACCTCCAACTAAGCGGCTCTCATTTTCTTAACTTTGGTGCGTGGAATCATTTCCAGATTGTGCCTCATATTTCAGAGTCGGGGTTATTTTGGCATGAGCCGATGATGACTTGGTTGCTGCCATTATGACTGCATCCGTAAATGAGCTGGAGCTGGGTAGTCCTGGCATAAAAATAAACATCCCTGCAGAGACAACACCAGTCCCTTTCCTTTTGGAAATGGGAGCTGAAGTCTTGAGCTAAGCCCAGCCATGGGAATTGAACGAAGAGCCAGTAAGACCTCAGATACCATGCGCTTTTGCTTTTCAATCGAGTAGGAAACTTCCTTTGCTGTTGGTTACGGTAATTTCAATATACTCATTTAGCACGCACCTAAAATGAGCACCACCTACTTTTTTCTGCTCCAAATTAACAACTGCTTTATTTTGAGATAATTTATTAAATGAGATATGAAAGTAGGCAGGTAATTTTGAAAGGCATTGTCATTCCCCCCCACCTCAACCCTCCGCGGGCAGGGAGGAATAAGCAATGTTCCCCAGTAATGTATTTTTCTCTCAAATTTCGGTTTCTCAGAGGCCCCCCCCCCACCCGCATCTCTTCATAGTGTGGGCAGTCTTGAAAGTGAATTGACTAATGCTATGCACTCAGGTTATCCCACAGACTGACTGATGCTAAAACCACAGCAGAGAACAGCGCAGCGATCTTGAGATATAGTCCTCTTCATAGCCTGGTTTTAATACAGTACGTATATGGTTAGTGACAGTGAGGGCTAAGTCATTTCTGTTCCCCACTTAGCTGTTTCCAAATTGGTAGGCAGGTAAGCTGAAGCCTGTAGTTAAAGCGGGGGGGAGGGAGTGGGTTGGGGAGGCTATGATACTAGGTAAAGAATAACGAACAAACCTAAAACCATATATATATATAAAACCATTTTGTAGATGGCTTTATGGCATTTTATTAATTTTTAGTGTTAACCTGATAATTTTGTTGCATTCAGCTGGAATGAAAATCTTTTTTCCAGCAATTAAGCTGGAAAAGCAAAACCGAACAGGAGCTTTTGTTCTTTAAATTACTGATGTCTATGATGCAACGCTTTAAAAAAAATCAAAAGCTAAACATGCAGATTTCTTAAACTGTCTGCGCTTTTAACTGATATCAGAGCATCCTTTCTCATAGATTAATAAAGACTTTTTTTCAAATGAAATGTGAACAACAAAACCTTTATTGTTCATTTATATAAAAAAAGTGTTGCTGTTTTGTATTGTACAAGGGCAGCATGAAGTTCTAAGTGCAAATAGTTTTTAAAATAAATAAAAACATTGCTCACACCGGTCACTCGTACCGTTTGAATAAAACTTGTATTTGCAAAGTACTGTGCTCCCAATGGAGCCATAGCTCAAAGCACGTTTAATAAAGGAATATGGAATATCCAGGTATTCTATTCACACAGGATTTCACCATTCAAAGCACTTTATTTTTCATATTCAAGCTTTGCTGTTACAGCCTAAATTGTCTGCTGCTGAGTTTTGGAAATCCCCTCTTCTGACATTTTTCTGATCCAATGAGAACATTACACAGTGCCCATTAAGGTATTTAATTTTAAAAGACAAATGCTTTTATCATGTTTATAATGAAAAAAGCTTCCAAGATTACCTGTCTGTTTATCTTACCCACAGCTGAGAAACTTAAATGCATGGTGTTGAAAAGCAGATTGAATAGCAAACTTGCAGCTAAATCTATTTTTTTAAATTTATTATGAAACAAAATATTAAATTGCTGTGCACAAGGGAGGTAGAAGATAAGTGCTAGATCACGACTCCTACTGAGAAAAAATCAATGCACTAATTTTGAGAATCAAATAATATATTAAATGTTAAGAGGCTTATGTGTATTAAATTAAAAAGATAAATAACTGGACATGATTGGGACAAAGTGTTGTCCAGTGTAAGCGTCCATCAGTCCATCAATGGTTCCCATTTAAGTATTCCTGAAAATACAGTTGACTCTTTTATCTAATAGTGCATTCTTGTTCAAACAAACATCAGATAAAAGAGATTAACAATATGCTAATAGATTTTCTTTTAAGTTAAATTAGATTTAAGGTACGGAGAACTGAGTGTTTACTGCACTTTAAAAGCTCTAATATCTAATTGGAATTTGTCTTTGATGCTGCACCTACTAAAAATTCAACCCAAGTTAGAAGAAAGTCAGAGCTTACACACACCTGCTGCCTGTGTGTCTTAAAATTACAGAAACATAATTATCCAAAGTTGTAAGGGGGGTTTTAATTAGAGGGTGGCTGATAATTACACGTTAAATGAGTAATCTGATCCTTATTTCATCTCGAAAGACATAAATAAAAACCCATACACATGGAAAACCACTTCAAGGGCAGTTGATTGCTTTTTGGAAAAGAAAAAACATCAAGAAACATAAATACAAAGTTCTGTGGCTATAGTGTTTGAAGAAAATCTCAAATAAACAAGGGTTAATGAGTCTGTAAGTTCTTTTTACAGAACTTTTTTCCCCCATATGATAAAGGCTACGTGTGTTCGCCTGAGTGGCTTGATCAGCTAAAATGCTTTGGGATGTCTGCATGAAAGACAGTTGCAATTTAACCCCACCAGAAATTGTATGGGAGTTCATGCTTAATAAATTCCAGTTGCATTCAATAAACTTTGGAGAGAAAACTCAGTTGAACAGGACTGAGTAATTACATTTTGTTGACAAAGGTAAAAAAAAGTGCTTAGCTGAAGGTGTTTCCTTCTGCATTTGTTGTAGCAGAAGGTTTTACGCATGAACACCAAAAGAGATTTCCTCAACCTATTTAAACGGATTTTTATAGAAGGGAGAAAAAGAAACGACCACCGGATTGCAGGAGTGCCCACCATAGGAAAAAGATATGGCAATGGTTAACTTTGGCAAAATTGAAACCCAGAAGCTGAGTATTAAAATGGTGTTGCATTTGACAGAGTTTTCATTTGCAAGTGCTGAGAGCTCGGACGTTGGCTGTTAACAAATGGCCCCTGGTCTATAGCCCCTGGCACAGACACTGATCAAGTACCTAGTCTAACAGAACATATGAAGTTAGTTGCATTCCCTTTCCTCCCTGCATTGCAAACCAGAAGCCCGGTGTTTTTCACCCCAGCGGGCGTTTCTTCTTTTTTTTTCGAAAGCATATTTGTGAATTCATGCATTTACAAATTGACTGGCTGCCCAAAACTGATAACAAATTTCTCTTGGTGAAGGAGCAGCTTGCCAAAAACCGTCCAGAGACTTCCTTGAATGGAGCTGAAGTATTCCGAGACAAGCTTTTAGTGGTTACAAAAACTGTTATATAGACACACGCGCAAAAAAAAACAGTCAAGGTGGCAGCCAAATTTGGAGAACATAATTATAAAATAACAGTTAAAAGACTTTACGGTGGTGAATGTTCACTCCTAAGTAATTGAACACTTCCAGCACAATAAGAACATTGATTTATAGTGTGGAGAACAGCATGCCAGTTAGTCTTAAATAAGATTCAGTTATGTTTAATGAAACCCACTAATAAATGGAAACTTGAAAGCAGGAAAGCAGTCTAAATGCCTCCAGTTATCATCAAAGGCTTATCAATAGAACAGGAGTTTTCCAACTTGTGCTGTAGTGCGCCCTGTTGTTAAAGCGTGTTTTACTTATTTTTACATGTTCATTACATGTTCTTGCTTTTGTCTTTTTTTTCCAGTCGAACAAAGTATCTGTGGTACAGCAGCCACACGGAGTGCACCCTCTGACTCCTCTCCTTCCCTACAGCAATGATCACTTCAACCCCAGCTCCCCACACCTGCCCACAGACATGAGCCAGAAGCCAGGTATGTGTCATTGCTTTCCCAAGAGAACAGCTAGGAAGAGGAGCTAGTGCTGTTTATTCACTTCGCCTTCCAAATGTAGTCAACCTGTTGAACGTGCACACAGACAGGATTCCATTCATCACAAATTACAGCTCGGAATCATCATCTGAAAGAATAATTTACTTCAAATCAGACTGTTTGATGGTCTTTCTAGGCCCGTAAAATGATAATTAAATGTCAACAAGAATTGGTGAAGTGAATCTCAGTTCTGAATTGAAGCCCCATGAATAATAAAGATCATTGTGGGTTTTTAAAACTATAAATGTTGAATTGATGATTAATTAACTATAAATAGTGAAGTGTTTGCATTTGTGTAGTGTTTTTATGTACATGTAGGGAAGGACCCACTCTATACAACACTTAAGAGCAGCATGCGTTAGAAATTTAGCTACGACATCAGGGTTAAACGGGGTTAACACCCTAACTCCAACTTAGATTTGAAGAGTTAGTTTTTTTCTAGGATGTTTGTTTTGACAAAGAACAAAAAATAACAGAAGTAGGCAACAGCAGAATGTGATTTTTGTTTCTAAGTACCTTCTTTCAGTTACAGATCCATAGAGCATGAGTTTTGTGTCAATATTTGGAAACTGTTTATCTCATGAAAATATCGAAATTTTAAGACAACATGAAATATATGAGTATAGAGCATACTCGCCTGAGCACACTTGCATTATTGGTCTGACGGCCTGTACCAGTGTCATGTGACCCCTCTCCTGCCCAGTTTACTATCTCCCCCTGGTGGATCACCATGTGATTTCTCTGAACACAACTCGTTATAAAACAATCCAAATCCAGGACTTGGATTGTTTCGACATGTTGTGCAATAAGTTTTAAGAACGCATTGTTTATACAACAATATAAATACTATATGGTACTATTGGTATGTGTAATTCTTTCTTTGAAATTTTAGAAGGAAAAATATTGCTATTTCTTTTCATGAAACACCTATTCACACCTCAACGGGGTTTGGGAAGCACTGCCATAGGCAGAGACGTATCTAAATGTTGCTTCCAGTTTAAAATAGAAGGCTGTTCTTTGCTGAAAATTGTCAAATACAGGACATAATTTTACTACATTTACTACTACAGTGTTAAGTCGTTCATTTGTGTTTAATTACATTGTAATTACAGATGCTTATTACATGGTGTTACCAAAGCATTAATACCCTAGTCATTAAAAAATAAAAAATAAAATTAGAGGCTCCTCTGAGAGTAACGGGGAATCTAAGCATTTAGAGGATGTTTTCATGTGGGTGAGTGTAACTGGAACACGAAATCAGAAATCTGCCCAACACACTGGCCTATATACCTGTACAGAGCTAACTCGTGGGCTAACTTGTGCTGCAGGTCATGTATTTTTTTTCATCAAAGCCGAGCGATACACCAGAGCACAGATTTAGGAAACCACCAAGAGCTTTTGTATTTCATTACAGTGATGCAGAAGAAGTACAACTGAAAACACACTGAGATGTTTTCCATTTGAGTAATGCCGGCATGTATCCATAAGATGCTTTGGCTTGCTGCCGCTGTTTACTTACCCTGTTTGCATTCTTAGCCGCAACTGTAAAGCTCTTTAAATCATCGACAACAACACAAAAGGCCCTCCTCTGTTCAGTCTCCTGCATTCTTCCCGCACTTGAAGTGGTTTGAGTCCCAGGGGACATTCAGTAGCCGCAGAGCCAGAAGGGCTACAGCGCAGCAGCCCCCACACCATGCTGGAAGCAATTAGATTGACAGTCACAGGGAAGGCTCTCTGCACAGCACTGGGCTTCACTGAAATTCAAGAAATCTAAGTGCAAGAAAAAAGGATGGGAAGCAATATTAGGCTTAAGTGTTTCAAGAGATCGTTAATGTCTTTTTAAGCAAGTCTTCAGAGTTGGATGAACGGGTAGAACAGCTTGCATTGCCTATGAGAAATGAGACCGACCTATCATCAGAGAAGACGATTTCTTTCTGTCTCTTGTCGGTTTCAGTTCTGCTTTTGCATTTGTTTTTTGCTTGCATTTTTTCAAGCGCACAAGGGGTTTAAAAACATAAACTCGGTAATCTGAGTGCATTCACTGGAAAGCAAAGTATTTCAGTGCAAATAACTGTATTTTGGTCTGCTTCGTTTTTTAAATGGCTGTTTAGTTGTGTAGATAAATGTATTTTTGTATGCCTTAACGTGGCTTACTTTATTGTGCACATTCTTGATTGCTTTTGAAATTCATCTGCACAACATGCTCATTCAGGTGTCATCTTTCAGAGGTTTAATTATCTGAAGCATCCTATGGGGTGAGCTGTTAAGATCTGAAACTTGGGTGCACAGCAAGTGTGAGTCAATTCAAGGGGAAAAACATGATGCCAGCACTTACCATGGCTCACCAGAGATCCTTCTCATATTGAAAACCCTACTGTGCCTTTTTAGAGGTGTGCTCATGAGAGATAGACTTATGGAATTTCCCTCAGGGGTCCTTTGCGAGAGACACTCCTTGTCTAGACTCCAGGACACTCACAACCTGTTGGTCTCACAATGCCCAGACGTGACATGAGACACCCTGACTCACTGTTAATGATAACGTTCGTTCTGATATCCCTTCCAGGTTATATATGAAGAAGGGCTTGAAACCTGTCTGAATTTTGTGTATTTTTTTTGTGTGTGAGTGAAATAGAGTTAGTAAATAAACTCATAATGGCAAATGCAGTGCAGGTGGACCCAAGTATGAAAAATTGACCTAAAATTACAGAAATTGTAGAGTTCCTTTAGAAAACTGGAAAAAATGACAGTTGTATCAAGTCTATTTCTGTCTTCTCTAGTCTTACTCTGCAATCATTCAATATCATTTAAGTCTCTGTATAAAGTCCTAACCCCAAAAAAGTGATGTTGCTTATAAGAAAATGTATTAGCAACCTTATGTAAAGGTCAAAGTTAGAAAGAAAGGTCATCCTCAAATGTCAAAGGGAACAAGTTCAAAAGTTAGAGCAGTTAATAACTTACAATTTATCTCCTTAAAAAATGTGAAACATTTCTTAGCTACAGATAGAGTAATCACAATATAGAATATGGCTGAAAAGATTTACAGCTAAGTACTAACTTTAGTATTGATCTACATTTGATTATCTACATTACAGCAAAAGTGTCCAGATTATGTATTGGATTTCTCATTTACAAAAATATGATCTGTGATCTCTACATTGGCTGTAGTGTCTACAATCTGCAATTTCAGTCAACAGTTTTATAACTTACTGTTTTGTTTAAAGCTAATATCCGATACATTTTCAGTTTGATTCCTGAGATAAGAGCAGAACAGATTAAATGCAGGCATATACATTTCAACACAATTCACAGGGATTTTGTTTTTTGTTTTATGCACAACCCTAAGCATTGTAGGTTGGCAAAAATATGAGTTACCAAATACCTCCAGGGCCTTGTTGTTATATCTTTGTTAAATTAAATTTCTACCAGATGAGTAATACAGTAGAAAGAAATCTGTAAGGGTAAAGTACAACTGGATATTTCGAGCATTCTACCAGAAAGCAGCAACCCAATGCCCTTAATGTACTGTAAATGTTGTTTCAAACAGCTTTTACAGTCAAACAGCTGCAGTTTTCAGGTACAGTACTGAGTACAGTCCAGTCATTCAGTTCTTCAGCGCATGTTTCAGTTTCGGTATTTTTGGAAAAAAGTTGATATTGAAATTTCTTTTTTATCCATTCTGTCTTCTACACCTGATCTTCTGACAAAAGCACTAGATATTACACAATTAGATACTGAAAGCTCCTCTGTTTTTGAGTAAATGAGTTTATATTTAGAATTTGCTTTTAAGTCTCAATCAAACTCAAAGTATTTTAAAACACAAAAATGAGTAAAGAATAACGTGTTGTTTCTTCTGAAGTAAATATAATCTTGCGATAAGAACAGCTTTAGAAATTTGAAGCACCTAATTTTGAAGCCTTATACATTAAAAAGTCAGAATCTATATTTTACATTCAGAATACTCATTGGTTAATATTTGTTTATTCGAACACTTTGAAATAAACAGGACATTTGTAATGCAGAATCTACAAACCTGGTTGGTTGTAATGTCAAAGCTAGGACTGTGATCATGAGAAACTGAACTCTGTGGTGGTTAAGTATTATTTTTTTTCATTCAAAATTCAAATGGAATAAAATCTCATTTTATTCAAAATGAGATTCTGGTACAACTTTATTATACTCAGATTTAAAACATTTTGCATAAACATTTGCAATACTATTTATTAAGATAAACATTTTTAAAGAGGAAGATGCAATAAAGTTTTTTGCATTTGTCATGCCATTTTTGTGAAAACTTTTTTTACATTCAGATCCAATAAGCTAACTCTTTAGCTATTTAGCTAACCAATGCTGTTTCATGCTGTACAATATAATCTTTTTTTTTTGGGGGGGGGGGTTCTTCCAAGATTATTTCTGTCCACATTTTTGAGTTATCTTTTCAAATGATGTTTCAGTCTTGAAGATTCTTCTTTATAAGGAGATAAATCACAAAAACATAGTTTAACTAAATATTTTGTACTTAGTACACTGTAAAGAATAATAAGTGGCTTTAACAGCTCCTTTACTTAACTTGCATTGTGTGAATGTTGCTTCTTACTGATTCTTACCTTCAAACTTCTAGGATTGTTAACAGGAAAAGTGGAACAAAAGCCATTCTGATGCAAAAGAAGCTGTGAAGTTTTGAACCATGCCAAAATGAGACTTAGAGTCTTGTTTTTTAAAACAAAAATAGGCTTTTAGTAGTTGTTTATATGGTATTTGTGTGGCGGATTTCCAGAAATGTTTGACAAAAAAAGAACTGCCGCCTCTTACAACTTGAAGAAAGGGGTTCTTTTTCGTCTGAGGTGGAGGGGGGAGCTGAAAGACAGTGACTCAGTTACATTCCTGTTAAACAGCTTTATAGATATCGGAGTCCAGAAACAAGCCTACAGCTATTTCAAATTATAGTCATTTGCAGCATTCTTCTAGTAAAGTATATGTTACCTTTGGGTTTTGCTAAGTGCTAGGTGCTGTCTGCTGACAAATGACTTCCTTTCAAAGGTACTGAAACTTTTTTTACCCGCAGTTTTGTTTCAGGAGCGCTTACATCTGTAAGTGGGCAATCGTAAGAACTGCTCACTAATCTTTTAATCAAAGATGCCAGTTACTTGTGAAAGGTGATGACAAAATGCTTTCTTGGTTTTATGCAAAGCATCTCAGCAGCAGTCTGCAGTCTTATTAACGGGGTGACTTATTCAATGTAAAAACCCAGATTCAGATTTTAAAAAATTAAGACCACAACAACTAAAGACGTGTGTCTAATCACACATTTGAGGCAGCTGGAGAACTAAGTGAATATTCAGTCTTGAAGGCATTAGCTTACGTAAAACTAAAGTTGTATGTCACACCATATAGCTGGCTAACCCAACATCTAAGGCATTATAGCATCAGTACTATAAGAAGCGTAGAACTGCAGAAATACAGTGAAGACATTGAAAAAATCAATCAGAAATAGCTGCTTGAGCCATCATTTCTAAAACAGACTTGTTGTTTTCTTGGTCTCTTAAGTCACATCTTTATTTGGTACATTTTTTGCCTATAATCTGGGCATCTTATCAGTTCAGTATTATATTGCACAGTTGAAAGTAAGGCAGATGCAAAGCTTGCAAAGAACTTGGAAGTAACCAGATCCATTTAGGAACATCGAAAGCATGTCACATACTTGTTAGCTTAGCCATTCAAGTACATTTTTCTCCGTTTTTTTCTTCTTACTCTAATTGAACACAGGTGCCCTATTGGCGTGTGGAGATAATTTGAAGAGAAGAGAAATTCAGTCTTGTGACTGATAAAAACACACGATTTCAGGCACTGTGATGGCATCAATAGAAAATATTTTTTTAATTAGTGTTGTAATCCTAAAAGGGGGTTGAGTTGTCTTGTTTGAATTTGTAATGTTCTTGGATTGAAAGTCTCAAGAGTGCTACTCTGTTTCTACAGCAAAATGTTGATTGACACTAGTGTGTATAACCTTTGGATCTAACCTGTAACTTTAATCCTCTTCCATTAGCCCAGTCAATCTCCCAAGAAAACCTACAGATTTTTTCCCACAAATAATATAAGTTTGTATGAGTACATAGATTGAGCTTTGAGATGAAAGAGAAATCTATGAATCTCACACTAACAGTATCAAAATAACGTGTCATCTGATCTTTGATGCAGTTAAGGCACTGGCTTCTGTTTCATAAACATGCCTTTGTGTACCGAGCCACTGTTATTCAGTGGAAGTGCTTAATGTTAGTGTTGCTTCACAACCTTTAGAAAATTGCTCTACTTTTGAGACTGCAGAAATCTTTCCCCCCATGTTGATATTGTCCTGATATTGGTGGGTTCCAGAATACTCAAGGAGTGTTAAATTCTGCTGACATGCTGATGAAAACAGACATTCCTAGTGTTCTGAAGTGGGTATTTCCCTAATGAGTCTTCTCTTGACCTCATTTTGTCAGCAATTAAGTGCTGTGATTGCCCTCTGTAATAGTAGTTTCCCAGTGTGGTAATGATGGCTTTGCTGACCTAGGGCCTTCACTTAAGTGTTTTTGTTTTGTGTTCCCTACAGGCGTTCACAGACCCCCGTCCCAGGAGATTTCAGGCTTCTATTCTCTCCCTCCAGCTGGTGTTGGCCAGATCACCCCTTCAATGAGCTGGTAAGTGATATTGTCCCCTTGCAAACACACAGAGCCCCTTGCGTGAGTATAGAGCACCAATCGAAGCAACAGAGCGATGCACCAGATCAAGAGCCTTGCAGGATGATATTGAGAGTAGTCCATCAGCTAGCGAAAGAGGCAGACGTATTTTCTGCTCCTTTCATTAAAACTTTCCAAGTTCTACAAAACATATTTAAGAATTAATGCTTTTTGGAAAGGCAAAAAAAGTTTTATAATCAACCCGACTGTTTCATTGAGTTCATTCATTCATGGCTCATTCACTGTTATTGTGGAACCTCTAATTAAGCCAGTTACATACAAAAGTTGATTATTTTCCCTCTTACACTTCAAAATGTTCCTCAATGAAGAGCCACAGAAGAGCATCTGGAAGGGAATGTGGAACAGATAAATTCTTTAAGGCAAATTATATCCTTTATTGCTGAATACCCAGCATTGCAGTTTGATGAAAGGAATAAAAAGACTGTGGGATTAAACAGAACATGTAGTCTGAAGCTGTGGTTTGCAGTACCACAGAGGACGGTGTAGTGGGAAGGGGTCTGGAGCTCTGGTGGGCGTAATTTTCTTTTCCCAGCGTCCTCTGCTGAATGCTATAGACGTCCTTGGCCACACCCGATCTTTGTTTCTGACAAGGGGGTGATCACAAATCGTGTTAGATTTCAAATTATGCTGCATTTTCAGTGTGTTTTTTCTGCTGAAGAAAAAATGAAAATTTGAACACAAGCACCAACAAGTCTAGATTTTCTTAGAAAGAAATGAGAAATACTTTTTTTTCCAGAACTGAGAATAACTTAAATTTGAAATGTATCTGCTGTTTTTTAATTTAACCGTAAAAAGGGGTGGAAGGAATTAGGTGTGGAACATAGTTGTATGTACTTTCAAGTTTGCCAGTCTGGGTTTGATTTTCGCTGCCATCTACAAGTTAATCTCCAAGAAGGATTTGGCCGATTGAAAAGGAACAGCTCTCTTCAGGATAACATGCTGCAAATACCTCAAGTTCCTTTGCCTATATTTCTGGTAAAATGTGTTAGTATGTAAATATGTTTGAAGGGCAGAAAGGTATATTGCCTATCACCCTTCGCTGTCTAACTTAGAAGAAACGCCCAGAGTTACAGTGGAATCCATGTGGTTTTGTTTATTTCATCTCGAGGAAGATTCGGTCTGGATGGTTTCTCATGTCACTTTAGTTTTACAGAAGAGAAAGTGAGGATGAAATGCCAAGTGATGCTTTTCGTTGTTCAAACAACTACCCACCCCCACCCCAGGTCCCCAAGAGCCGTTATCTTTTGCTTGTCTTTATGTGCAATTCCCTTATCAGCCGTCGTTTATGGTGTTGTGCCCCATAAAGCTTCTGGTAAAAGTGCAGTCTAAGTATATGCTTTGTTGAAAAGTCTTTGTTACAGGTAAGTTATAGAAAAAGACTATGATATATTCCCATTTTCATATGTTACACTTCATTGTTACTCTGCATTCTGGATTCCGTAACAGAATGTAAAACCCATAGTCAGACAGCATCTACCTAGTCACTTTGTTGTATTCAGCAGTTCTCCACCGAAGTGACTGATGAAGTCTGTTAATTCTGTCTCAGCAGCTGTGCATCATAATTGGCCTGTTCACTCTGATTTGCAAATGAATCCCTCCTTGATCAGGCAGTGGAGCTCATACAAGCCCAGAGCCAGTGACTTCACAAGCCCTCACTGACCTACAGACATTCCACCTCCCCTAGGGGCACAATTGTTCAACATCAAAGGACAGTGACTTTCCTTGGGACGGCGTATGATCCCCGCCTGATGTTTTTGTGATGTTTATCCTGTGCTCACGAGCCACTTCGTTCAGTGAGTCACTCAGCTGAACTCCTCCTCAGTGCCCTCAAGCTGGGGCCCAGCATAGTGATCCACTGGGGTTTTCTTTAGGCTGTGAGGTTTAAGCAACAGTTTTTGGCTAGATTACAGTTGCCTTTTAATGCGGCATTGGCTTTTAAAAATGCATATTATAAACTTCCTTAAACGTGGCCCGCTTTCTTTTCTGGGAAGGAGCAGCCAAGAGACGTGACATTTGTACCCTTGTGGAGTTCTTCTGATGTGTGTGATCTAACATAATTCAGTGCGCCTTAATCAAATTTGAATTTTCAATACTGTTAAACCCATGGGAGAGTTCAGCTGGACATCGAAGAACAAATAGGGGGAATTAAAAGTCCCTGATAGTGCCACGGAAAATCTACCATATAAGGACAGATCATGTCTTTTAGAAATCTGGAGTCTGTTCCGTTTGAACATTCATCTGCCCTGAGTCACTGCTGCCCGCTTGCACCGCAGTGGCTCTCAGTGTTTCAGAAGGGAATGTTAACTGGTGTCAGCGTGCTTGGACACAGTAGGTCCTCCTGTTGTTCCCGGTAGCTTGATGGCCTATTTCTTACCCCAAATGCAGGCAAAGTCAGCCTGTTTATCCCATCTCATCGTGTGGATTCAGACAGCCCTACTCTTCCAGCCTCCCCACCAGCTCCTCTTTCTCCAGGTAGGTATGGGCCGAGCCAGGAGGGGGCTCCCCTGTGCCGCCCACCCCCCTCCCATTCTGCTGCTGCTTGCACTTGGCCCGCCCCATCGACTCGAAAGTCGACTGCCCCGCCGGTACCCAGCCACCGGCTCTGCCCCGCCTGCAGACAGCTGGCAGTGCCTCCGTGTCCCTGCTTTGCGTGTGGCGGCAGCGATGTCCATGTCCAATACCCCCCGCTGCGCCGTCCCAACCCAAGAAGACAAAATGCTTCCGCTGTTCACTGCTGCATCACAGCCGGCTGTTGCTGCTCTGGACCGGTACTTAAGAACATGTCCTCATAGGCCTAAAGGAACATGGGAAGACAGGCAGTGGTTGAATAGATATCACTCAGTGTTTCTGTTCTTTGTGTATTTTAATTCAACAAAGAAAATATTTTGCGGGGGAAATTGGCCTTTGAAACTTGGAAAAAAAACATTGGTATGGACTGAGTCTTATATGTTACAATTAGTTCTAAGTAACCAAATTGGGGAGTGGTTAATGTATGAAAATCAGTGAGTATATCTTTAACATCTTTTTCTAATTGTAATCATTTTAGAGCAGAAATGAAGTTTTAATGTAGACATTGGGAGTTGTATTCCTTTAATGTGCTAGAAATGTTTTTGTGATTTAAAAAGGCCTCAAGCCTTTCTTCTTTTTTTTTAATCCCATAAATTATCAAGATTATAAAGATGTCTCTCGTGTTATGTTTGGATACTTAAAGTGCTTAATTGATTCAAGGGTTCATTTATGTTTGACCTCAGTGAAGGGTCCCATCTTTTATTCTAACAGTAATTAACACTAGCATGTCAGAGATTTTGATCGGAAAGCTTTCAAACTGAGATAAGTGAACTTCACGGCAGTATTCTTTCATGATAGTAAAATTCTAATAACTTACTGTTTCACTTCAGGTTGCTTCTGGTTTTCCTTTGCTTTTTGTTGCAAGTTGTGCTCCATCTGGTGGCCATTGTTCAAATTTTTATCTGATCAAAGATCAGTCCCAAAGGGTAAAAGGGCAGATCTGGTACAAAACTGTTACAGCTGTACAGCGGATCTGCATGGCTTCCAGCCAGTTGTTAAATAGATGTTTCCTTGTCTTTTCCAGGTTTCCCCATTCTCTGGTGCTGGGTCCTTCTAGCATGCATCCAACGGGTATTCCCCACCCTGCCATAGTGCCCCCTACAGGCAAACAGGAGCATGACCAGTATGACAGAAATATGTATGCGTACGTATACCTAAAATATTTTTTTTTTCACAGAAGTGGGGAGGGAATTTCCATTCAGGACCTCTGATAATGAGTTAAAACATAAAGTTCTCGGTCTTTTAAATGAATGGACGCTGGAATCATGGGAAAAGTAGAGCCAGTTTCTTGGGGGGAGGGGGTTCAAATTCAGTCTTGCCCACAAGATTCCACAGTGGTGTTTTCAGCCAGTTCCTAAATGACAACTCACTATTTATTATTTCCTGTTTTGTACTGTACTGTGTACATTGTGTGGTGTTGTCTGTTATACTGCGCATGTCCTGAGAAGAATGGCACTGATTGAAAATCCCATTGTACGTGTACATATGGCAAATTAACCCCTCTGTCCCTATTGAATTGACAAGTTGCCAGTGGGTCTGAGAGTCATGATACTGATCATGGCTTCAGCTGGAATGTGCACTCAACACAGCTCCTTGGGGCACTCAACACGGTCATGCCCCATCGTGCTACGCGTTGTGATATTCCAAAGTGTGTGGCTAAGATCCAGGGCCCCTTCTGTAACGCCAGTGTGCATGTATCCAACAGGAAGCCCCAGCAAGAGCCAAAACGAGACAAGGAGCCAAAAAAGCCAGTGATCAAAAAGCCACTGAATGCTTTCATGCTGTACATGAAGGAGATGAGGGCCAAGGTGATCGCAGAGTGCACCCTGAAAGAGAGCGCTGCTATCAACCAGATCCTGGGGAGAAGGGTGAGTGGCCCACAGAGCAGCACGGTGTCCACTGTCTGACTCTCTGGACTGTCTGTCCAGTGGCCCACCAGGAGCGGCTGAGCTGCAGTCTGTGGGCCGGGACAATAATACTGTGCTACCTCTTTTTTTTAAGTGTCAAGTTCCGAATTGAGAAATAGTGAAAATGAATGAAAAAAGAGAATGAATTGTTTAAAAAAAAAACAGATTTGCTTGGGCTTCACTCCTAGACATGTCTTCACTGAATAAGCCATTCCCTGTGTTTGTGTAGTGGCACGCCCTGTCCAGAGAAGAGCAGGCCAAGTACTATGAGCTGGCCAGGAAGGAAAGGCAACTTCACATGCAGCTTTACCCAAGCTGGTCAGCCAGGGACAACTATGTAAGTCAATCACATCCTTTACCTTGGATTTTATCATCTAAACTGGAATGGCCTATGAGAATGACTGTGTGTTTTCAGGAAAAGAAAACTCTTTTGTTCCGGACGTCAATCGGACATCATTCAGCCTCTGTCAAAAAGTAAAGATAATGTTTGAGATGAAGATTTTATTTCCTCATCTCAAATGATAATCTTGTAAGGGCTTTTTGTCTCTTACAGATACATGGTTAATAAGGATTAGGGTTTAATTGAAGTCGATGGTAGATACAGCAGATTTAATGTACTGTTCCTTCAGTCAGGCCTGATGTGATGCTCTCACTGCTTTCACGTTGGAGTTTTTGGAAATCCCCTGATTCTTTAAGTTATACCATACATTTTTTTTTTTTGGTTTTATAGCACTTTTTATCTGCACATGTATTCTGTGTGTAAATGTTTCTTCTACTCTTATGACTTGGTCCCCAGTGATGGTAACAGTCATCGTTGTGATCTGAGTCTTGCTCTGGTAACCTTCACAGATTGCATAAATCCAAATGGAGGGCTTGCCTTTTGACTCCAGGAGCCTTGAACACAGAGAGCTTTGGTTTTTCATTAATGTTCATAACAGCATCTTGTGAACAGGCAAAGGTTCACTGGCAGGCAGCAGTAGGTTTTATCCAGGATTCAATAACTCTGCAACTTGCATGTTAGGGTCATTCAAGCAACAAGAATGGACAGAGAGAAAACAGGAAAGCAAAGAAAAATATAGTCCTTTGCACTACACAATTAATAGCTATATCTGTAAGAATGACATGAATGATGATCTTGTATAATTTTAAGAATGTGAAAGTTGCTGTTGAACTCTTACAGGAATCGAACCTTAGAGGGGAATCGGGGGAAAGGCATAAAGCAGATTGGGTAGGGCAAATATTTTGCACGACTTACTCTACTAACAAGCAAGGAGCTTGCACTTGCGTTCTTCAGACATCTGGGTTCTGGATCAAATAAATCTAGACAGGCCTGCAGTAAAAACACCAGATTAAGGCTGGGACACGTATTCAAATCCGATTCAGATACAATCACTGACTCATGCCTGGTGTCATAGAAGTTCAGGGAGAGAGTTTAGAACTCTCGGAAGTAGATGGAGAAGATGAAGATCCTCCAGATACTGATCTCTATATGGAGACACTCGAAACCTATTTATCTTAAAAATTAATTCTGATGCAGACTTCTTTTACACTCCATTATCTAGCCATACACATAAACTATGCTTCTTTCTTTCTAAGAACTAAACAATTCTAACTCTGTATGCATAAATACAGTGGCTTGGTGTATGGCTTCTGCATTCTGATTTTCCTGTCTTTTTTTGACAATGTGGTTATTTAGTTTGCCTGACTCTGCCACCACAGGGTAATAAGCTTTAGTTATAGAAGGCCTAAATGTCTTCTTAGCAACATTGTGCATGAATTAAAATTTCCTGGATACTGACTTTTTTACTTTCCTTTATCTTTTCAAACAATTTGAACTTAAAAGTAATGCCTTTGTGTATCTCTCTCATGAACATAAAAGAAGCATGAAATAGGAGCTCTTACATGGATTCATGAAGGCATATTTACATTATTTTGGAACAGCTTTTGCTAACAGCAGCCTAAGGTCACTGATGAGACACTGATGTTGATCGGTTAATATATTTCAGATTTTTACTGTTGATTACGAAATATTACAATTTGCAAACACAATATTAAGGAGGGAGTGAAAATGAGGATGTGACTTTCCCTTTAGGATACCATTCCTCAGGAAGAATTTCAAATAACTTCCACAAAACATAATTTCTCTCAAAACTAAATCTTAACAATGGTAAACCATTTTATCACACTCAAAATTCAATTTGCAAATGTCATTTGATAGAACAAATGATCCCTGTTGTAAGATGCTGGTCTTTGGTATTGCTGGCTTCAGCCTGCTCTAAGTGAAAGGGAGAGCAAAATCTAGGTCACATATCCCAGTCACATGACCCGCTATCAGACAGGAAGTACAGTTCCTCCCACGGCATACTTCAGCTTGCTGCGGTTCGGATCTCTCCACCTTCACTGAAACCACAAAGACTCATTTGAGAAGTCGGAGGTGAAACCTAGAGCTGCTAGCTGATCCTTTCTCCTGTCTTTGTTTCAGTAGTTTCAGAGCTCCCCCTGGTCTGTTCTGTATTTCTTTTGTTCCATGTGTATTGGTGTCCTACGGGGCCCTAGAGCTGGGCTTTTCCAGGATACTTATATTGAATGGATGTCTTATTAAATCAGTTCAAATGGTGCCGCCTGATACGTTGAGTTGTTAAACAGACATATTAAAGCCACTCCTTTCTCAGAGTATAGCTTAACTTTACTTTGAAAATCCCCTCGTCAGATGGGTTGTCCCTTGGTTTTTCTTTTTGGCTTTCACTGCTTTTCTTGTCCTGGTTTTCATGTGTCATGCAGATGGTATTCACACATGCTAAAGACCAGTTTGCTTTTTAAAGGTTCTTCTCCACAATGATTCATATTACATGCAGAAGGATACTTTTTTGGCCTGTTTTAGGTTAGTTATAGGTGATGTGGATGTGGTGGTTACCGCAATCCCAAAGAATTAGCTGAGAAGAATTTCTTGAGCCACCTCTTGAGGAATTCCATTCAGTCACAGCAGCAGGCTTGTGTACCACGTGGCTATTTCGTTGTGATCCTTATGTCGGACTGAATTTTTGTAATCTTTAAAAATGAACCTTTCCTACATACTGACAAAGAGACAATATTACTTTGTATTACTTCATGTTTTTAGAAAAAGCTCTTGTGTCATAGTACACATAACTCTTTCAAGCTCATAAATTTATTTAACTGTGTTTTGTGTTTGTGTGTAAAACAGGGAAAGAAAAAAAGAAGAAAAAGAGAAAAGCAGCAAGATTCCAGTTCGGGTAAGTTAGAATTTGATATTTTAGCTTTTGCTTAATATTAAAATCCTGACCTGGAACACTAAAAACACCTTTTCCATTCATCCCTCAGGAAAAGCATTTAACACTGCAAACGTATTCCACAAACCTGACTAAGTTCAGCAAAACACAATTCATACACATATGCGTTACTCTCTGAATTTCTTAAATTGTTTTCACCTCACACTGTTAAGGCACAGTACCTTACTATACTACAATATCGGCTCTTTTCATGGATGACTGCTGTCCTAAATACTTTTTTCTGTTGTTGGTCTTCGTTTTTCTCGGGTTAAAAGCAGTGTTTTTAACGCTTTAGTAACATGCTAACAATTTTTTTCAATTTTTTTTGCTGCCCTTTGTCCCGTTCCTCCTCCTCCTCCTCCTCGCCCGTCTGTCCTTCCTCTGGCCTTGCCCTCTCTCTCTCACGCGCATGTTGTCTTGTGCTCAGACCCTGGCTCTCCTAAGAAATGTCGAGCTCGCTTCGGCCTCAACCAACAAACGGACTGGTGTGGCCCCTGCAGGTGTGTATCCCAGCCTCCTGCCCGGCAGCACTGCTCTCTGCTCTGCATGTCTGTCTCACTAACGCCATGCATACACGGCCTCAGAGCAATAAGAGACTAGAGAAAAGCTAACGCTGGTTTCTCTTGTGGCAATACTGTTTAACATTTTAAAGGAAATTTTAAGGAAGCTGTGGCACCAACCAGAGAGGTGTTCGGTTATTTTTTGGCTCTTGTTTTTCTAAATATTTTATAGGGATCTCCTGCATTTTGCACACCAGTCTCTTTTTCTGAGACAATGTAATTAATCAGCGATGCTAATGAGGTAAAGAATTCCCAGACATTATGCACTGAATTAACAGAGCTCAACGCATGTGAGAATTACCACTTTGAATATTCTGGTGGTTAAAGTTAAAATTTGTTCATCTCCTTAGGGGTGTTATCATGGAACAGATCTTTGAATGGTGAAAGAGATTTGGACCTGCTTTTGGTGAAGGAAAATTGCTTCCGTTATTGATGCACACTTTGTAGCATTTAGTCCTTAACTGCCTAGAATGTCACCTGTAATTAAATGACTTTGGAAATAATTTAGTTATTTTTATACTATCCATTAAAGACAAATGATCATATCATTTAAAAGATGATACCAAACCACTTATGGACTGCAAAGATTTACTATGATGAATCACCTTTGGCAAAAGATGAGCTGATAAACTTTTGTCTTTTCATTGTAGCAATGATGTTTGCAAACAAACCATCCATAACTTAACACCTGCTAGCAATTTAATTGTCCTTTTTAGGAAGGGGGTAGCTCCCATCAGCCAGTCTTGGTGGACTTTACTGTTTTGTTATTGGGGTTTTGCTGCGTCAATGGAGCAGATATTTCCTCACGGCAAAAACTTTCTTTATGAATATGTATTAGTACAGCCCAAATAAGAATATGGAAATGTAGCATTTTGGGATATGCACTGCAGTAGCAATGCTCGTTAATGAGTGGGTGGATCAAAATGTCACTTGACAGACATTAGAAATTCAAACTGGTGAGAAAATGCCATAGCTGGGTTCCTTTTTTTGAAGACGGCCACAATTTTTTTTCATTTCATAAACATTAATTTGACCCTGCGGAACTGACTGTTCATTCCATCACACCGAAATCCGGAATTTTGCTCCTTAAGATTTAGCCGATACTTCACAAGACTGCTGACTGCCATGAGGGAGTTTACAGAAGAATCTTGTAAAATGACTGGTGTCTGTGCATACATGTATCATAATGACAAAATAGTCTCTGCACAATATAGGGAACAATGAAAGCTATTCTTCCCCAGCTCAGATTCCAGCTGAAGCACTGGCTCTTTGATCTGGTTTATTTTCTATAGAATGATTCAGTGCTGCTTTTCATGCAACAGCCATTACTGTGTTACATCAGTATAGTTCCTGTAATGTCTAAAATATTAGAATTGTTCTTTAAAACTATGAGCAATCCTAATTGTTACAGGGGAAAAAATGTTTTAGTGATCTTGCAGACATCAGCAAAAAAACCTCTTACACACTGAAGTGCACATCAACACTGTATTCTGCTGGGTGATAATTCCGCATGCTTTCGATCACCTTCCTCAGCATGGCGATAAAAATCCAATAAATTCTCATTTCCCCTTGAACACACTGTGGCTAACACGTTTTTTTTTAGATGTGTCTTTATTCTGCTACTTGATAGCAATCTTAATAGGTGTGCTTTATGGATGTTCTTAACAGATAATAAATGTGAAGAAAGCCACGTGCATCACTGTGGTTAGCGTTATCCTGGTTCCTCCAAATGGCTGCACAAACAAAGCATGCTTTGCACTTTGATGACATTTTGTATGCAAATCTCCATTCACTTTTCAATTAATGCGGTCAGGCCTATACATACCACTGCAAACGTTTGATGGTTAAATGTGACCTTTTGAATTGATCTCAAATTGCTTATCCTCATAACTGTTTCTCTCATCATGCAACTTCCCAGATGAAGTTGGACTTTACCCTGATACATGTACAGATGGTATTTTTACATAGTTATGACTCACTTCTAAATTCTTGATATTACAAAAGCAAACCATCACTTTTTGTTGGAACAATGCCAGTAGATTACTTTTTTCTATCAGGAAATGGTAATTTCTATAAATTCGCTTCCAAACCCTCTATAGGGTTCATGATGGTGTTAAATGATATCTGATTAGAATGGGCAATCCCTTAAATGACCTATTTCTTAGTGTACCAGCTACTAGCTGTGTCAATTTAATTAAATTCAGGAAAAAATACAACTTAAAAAAAATGTTCAATTGCATGCAAGTGCTTAAGTGTAAAATAAGCACTTACCATCTTTAAAATTATTCTTTAAATATTTGAGGCATTGCAGATGTGGAGAATCCAGAACTTTTATTTCTTCGTTTTGAACTGTTAATTGTAAGATCTACCATGTGTACAGACCTAGTTTTTTAAGCCACCTCTTGTTGGTGCATGGTGCATGTGATTTCACTCCATATTGGTGACACTTTGAATCCACGCTTTATTCACAGATAACTCTCTTGACTGTTCCTAGGAGGAAAAAGAAGTGCATTCGCTACCTTCAAGGAGAAAGACGGTGCGCCAGCCCCGATTCTTCCGATGGAAGTGCTATAGACTCTCCCCCTTCCCCACCCGATGTCCCCCCAGCTCCACATCAAACCACGGAAAAGCTTGCCGGCTCTCCAGTGTCACAGAGCAGAGAACAGACCCCCTCCTCCCTTTCTGGAAGTGCCAAACCCACTGAACTATCGGTGAAAACCTTAACAGAGTCGCAAGATCGCACACATCCATCACATCAGCCTTCATCAGCTGCCTACAGCATCTCAAACACTGCAACGTAAACCAGCGTCTAAGAAAAAAACAGAAATAATTTCAGGAGAAAAACAGAAACTTGGAAGAATTTTGGAAATACCGTTCAACGGCTTCATCTACTGACGGGGGGGATGGGGGATTATATAAACCACTACCAGTCTTTCAAGGTTCTCCTACTCTAGTCTCCTGCTTTTCTGATTTGCCTTGATGACAAGGAAAAATTACCCATTCGTGGACCTGAAGATAAATGTCACTGTCTCGTTAAAATGAGAAACTACGAAGATAGACTAAACCCCTATACGCCTGACAAGTTGCACTCATTATATATTCTGTTTTGGAGCCAGCACTGTCTAAAGTTAAGTGTTAGAATAAGGTAAAAAGTATTCGTATTTCACTACAAAAATATTTTATGAAGTTTCAGATGGGCTCTTTTATTCAGTTTTAAAATGTAAGTGCTCTTATTAGAGCTTAATTTGTTATATTATGGATGACTGAAGCACAATATTTTATAGGCTGTTCAGTTAATCTGTGGAATTCACTTTTATACAGCAGTCTGAGCAAAAATAGGCTAGGATCAGAAAAGAATATTGTTAACTTTTAATTTGTATATTGGATTTCAAGTTTTTTAAGCAGTCATTACAGTTATGTGTTTAATAAATGGCTTTTGAAACTATTACCATGATCTCCCAACACTAAGAACTGTGTTAAAATTAAAAATCTTAGTGTAAGCAAGTAATTAATTAATCAAAACTATATACCAGTTGTGTTTTGGTGCCAAGTTTTATCATGTGTGACATTGGGAAAGTTGGATGGGTATTGGGTATATGGCACTATAATATCAAACTTAAGAGCCAGATTTCAGGCAAGGAACTGACAGATAAGAATACAGCTTCTTAAGTAAACATATGTGCTTATAAAGACACTTTTCAAACAATGTGTCATGAAAACTGCATATTGGAGGAATGTGATTATGTACACGCACAAATGTACATTTAATTTCCATGCTCTAGTCAACTAAAGCACACCAGAGGGCGCTAACTTTACTAGTGTCTGCCACGAGATAAGTACAAGCAATTGTAACCACATCATCAGTTTGAACTGAAATAGTGCCCTCTGGTGGGTAATGTTCTTGTTCCCAGAAGTCACATTTGTACTAAATTCAGTTTTTACCTCGGTTGTTTGAATAGATTAAATACATTTTTAAGTACCCTTAAAAATGTACACAAGTCTAAATATAACTTTGCACCCCATATGTTTAAAGTAACAGAGCTGAATTAACTCTGCAAATGAAAATGCAATGTTATTTTGAAGTCCTAGCCCCAAATTCAACATTTTGTTTTGCATTTTATCTATGGCTTTCCCTTCAAAATAGTTATACATATTGAATATCCACCGGAAGTTGTCAATGCACAGGGACTAGCAAGAGGGCTTAACTGCATTATATTTGTGTTGGCACTTTTATTAGTATGCAGATTGTTAGCCTCTTGACTTAAAATGAGCATATTAGTGTAATAAAGTTGACGTATGCTTCCAACAAAGGATGCACAAATTTTTAAATAAGGTCATTTATTACATCAGGCTGGTCTATATATTTATGCTGGTGTTAAGGATTTCCATTAATGAGTGACATGAGATTCAAGGCTTCAATGTCTCGGTAAAACTGAAAAGGTGTGCTCAGAAGTCAGTGGAATAAACCAAATGGGTACTGTATCTCAGATGAATATCAACGTACAGAAGCTTTAAGAATGGGACACCTTATATGCGAGAATCAAAACTTTTCTATGTTGTTTTGTAAAAAAAAACAAAATTATAAAAATGCTTTGCTATGTTTTCATTAATTTTTTTTTAAAACATTTTCTGAAGCAATTCACTTCTATATTTTTTAAAGCAGTGGCAGGGCAATGGAGCAGGTGTTAAAGAAGTCTGGGTTTTATCTTATGACGAACTAAAACTCAAGCTGCTTTTACACCACAACTGAGCCTGAGATGATAACTCACTCTCAGATCAGCATACTAATCGTCTGCAATTCATGCATGTTATTGCCTTACTCTGCCAAAAATAGCTTTATTTTGCGCTTTTAGCATCAATCTTTTTTTCTGTGGAAAGTCACAGTGCCAAGTGATATTCAGCCAGATATCAGTATTGCAAATACCGTAAATACAGATGGTGCTGTGATAACAGATGTTTCACTGCAGGCTGAAATCTGAAAAAAATTGTGCACTTTGGTTTTTCCAAAGTGGGGGAAAAAAAAATACCAAAAATACTTAACACAATCCACGTAGTGCTGGCAGTGTCTGAAGTGTGTTTTCATGTATACATTAAATGATTTTGTCTTCTATTGCGATAAAACTTTTGTTAGATGTAATTATAATAAATTTTGGACTCCTTGATTTTTTTCTAGGACTTGTTTCATCACTGAACTTTACATTCATGAATGTAGAACTCAGAAATATCAAGCCTAAAAACCAATATTGTTATGCATGTAGCAAATGATACTGTGTTCTACATAAAAAAAATAAATTTGATTTGTTTACCTTTAAGTGAAGATATTGATTTCCCCCAGTATCCCACTAGGGGAACCCTACATACAAAAAAGAACGCATCTGCCAAATTGCTAACTTCCTTTGAAGAATATCACTAAATATCACTGTTTTTTATACAAAATAATAAACAAAACTCAAATTTCAGAAACACTATTTCAAACCTGTTCAGAACATAAGTACAAGCTTTACATGGTCATAAAAATCTTGGCAATATACATGGGCATATACCAGTGACTAAACTCAAACTGTTTGTATTGTTTACAGAGGTCTTCATGCCTGTAACATTAACATGTTTACCGAGCACCGATTTTTTCCATGACATTCATCAGAGGGCTGTTCAAAAGTCAAAGTTTAAAGCTGCTCTTTATTCAAAATACTTAATTGCACAGCAATGAATCTCATCACTTAAATAAATGCTTCTCTACATTACAGAGGGGATAAAAACAATAAGGAAATGAAAATGTGGAGCTTTGAGATGAAAATGGCAAGCTTTCCACATTAAAGAATTCCATAATAAAACAGTTTTCTTTGTTACTGTTTATTTCAATCATATTAAGGGTGAGCTTCCCAGATGTCATTTTGTTTAGTTATAAGCGGTTTCCATCTTAGTAACAACAATAAATAGAAAGGAAATACTGAACTGTGTAATAGAAGACATTATTTTTACTACATACTAATGCTTTCAGTCCACAGCAAAAGCAAACCAGACAATATCTTCTACACAGCTGTTCTGAAATTTTATTGTTAACTTTCACTGCCTGTAATTTTTTCCATTAAGAAACAAGATATCCACAACTTCCTAAGTTTATTATGTTGCATTTCTCTTGTACAGGACAGGATACAAATGAAGTTGAAGTTGGCCATATTTACAAAATTCAGCTTTTATCAATAATATTCATCAAAAGGTTGTTTATTTACCACAACAGAAAAACAAATTCAGTAAAAAAAGACAAACCTAAAGCTTTTAAAAACAGCAGGGGGAATAGGTGCTTCTAATGTTCAGCGATTCAAAATTATCATAATTTTAGATATCCAAGACTGAAAAGTGAATACAACCTTCAATAAGTCTGTAAAAACAAACTGGAAAAAAAATTTGCACCAGACAAGCAATGGGAATTATCATGCTTTGAATGCACATGGATTTGCTGCTCTATTTCTCTACGGTAATATTAACAAGTATGAACAGCGCAGTGCAACCAGTATTTGGAACGATCATTACAGTGTGTTGTAGTGTCAGCTTGTAAGAGCTCATTTTTCTTCACACCACTGGTTCTCCTTGCGTACCTAAACAAAACAAAAGTCAAATATTAAAAAAAAAAATTGAAATACTCATTTAGCATCTCAAAAACCCTGACCAAACTACACAGATTCTGCAGTTTATTTCAGCCTTCATCTAACCTGAATTTACCAAGTTCAGGTATTCGGGCAGCTACATGTTTTTGGAAACCACAATGCAATACTGTATATCCTACAGTGGTAGAAATAACTAACTTGTCTCGCAGCTTACTTACCATGACTTCTGGATAATGCAACCTGTATTAATCACTGCTTTTAAATGCAGTTTCAACTTTCACATTCCACATTCTTACATGCAACATGGTTTTGGGTTACTCTCGAGCACAAACTTTCCTAGGTAAAATGTATTTAAGGTATATACGTTTACTATGGTTGGGTAAAATGATAGTATAGTGAATTAGACAAAACATTCTGAGGAAAAATGATAAAGTTGTGACACGCATTTAATTATCTTTCAAGTTAAACAATGTTTTGAATTGCATTAAATCTCACCAGACGCAAGTATAATCTGTGACATTTCACCAATGTCTTTTAAAATTTACCTGAACAAAACCTTGATTCATATCTCGAGGGTTTGACCCCACTGCTCCATCAGCTGTAGCAGTACAGTGTACTGGTGTAACAAAAGCCTTTATATTGCGTAAAAGAGCAAAGTAAGTTTCTGACAATTGTTTAACTCAATTATTTGATTGCTGGCATCTGTTAACTACATAATTTGCTTTGTGCAAATCATTTAGTTCTGTGTTGTGTGCCAATTTGTAACTGGTGTAGGAGTGGCTATTAAGCAGTGGGAGGAAGGTGTGCTTTGGAGCAGACCTTTGTGCAAGGTCGACTGGTTAGAAAGAAGTTCAAAGAGATAGCTGCATCAGCATGTGCAGGCTGCAAAGGAACAAGTAAAGGTTTATTCCATGCTGACGAGAGACAATATTTAATTTAGACAATATATAAAACGTTTCTCTCGTTTCTTTTCAGCATGGAATAAAACTTGCTACTTGTTAATTTCTTTATCTTCTTGCTTTGCCTGTTTAAGGTTTAATGTAACTGTTTTCTGTGTTTGAGGACCCAGTCAAGACTTGATTTTTCTTTCTGGATGTCCACAGGGGGCCTGATTTGAAAATGTTTTTGGTAATGATTTAAAAACCAATGATGGACTGGCACAAGAGCGATGTTCAAGTGGAAGCTATAATACTTAAAAATATGAAAGCAAATACACTTTCCACCATTTACAATTTGGTCCTCGTGTAATGTCAGTCTTTTGTTTGGAAAGGTTTTGCTCCGATTTAAGACTGCCTACTATGTATACTCCCCTTTTCATAACATTACCCCAGTGTACTACCAGTATTAGTACCTGTCCCAGATTAGGCAGAACAATAAAGGGAACTGTGTCTTATGATGAAATGTAGATTAATATGACCTTATGAATATTGTTATATATTGCCCACCTCTAAGAAAAGATCTCCCTAGCCATCCTGTTCACTATACACATACAATAATAAACACAAATAAACTTTGATTATAAATACATTTTCCATTCACCCCTGATGCTTTTCAAATGATAATTCCTTCCAAGGAACCACTGCATTCATCACACAACAGTGTTAACTCCCCCACTTCTATATATACACACACTTCTCGTGCAGATATGGAATCTTCTGCTTGTTAACATGACAGCAAATCACCATATTAGGACATTAATATACAACTGCAATATGTGGGAGGACAGTACGGTGGTGCAGTGGTTAGCACTGCTGCCTCGCTGCACTGGGGCACTGGGTTCAAGTCCAGGTGCTATCTATGTGGAGTTTATATGTTCTCTCTGTGTTAACATGGGTTTCTTCCTACGGTCTAAAAAAAAAAAAACACAAAACAAGTAGCCCTGGTGAGAATGTGTGTATCTGTCATTGTGCGTCTGTGTGTCTGCCGTGTGATGGACTGGTGTCCTATCCAAAGTGTACCCTGCCTTGTCCCTGTGGCTTGCCAGGTTAAGGGTCCAGCTCTCCTGCGAACCTGAACTGGATGAAGCGGTTAAGAAAATGGATGGATGTAATGCATAGGATATCAACGTTAACCACGTCTACACACAAACTGAAGTAATTACCTGTGCTTCTTCTTCCTCAGTGAAGTCATTTTTGATATTAAAGGTCTTTCGAATTTCTTCTGGAGTTTTTCCTTTAATCATGTTAGCAACTGTCTTGCATGTAACATCTAACAGTCCCTTGATGTCCAAATAGTTTGCAGCCTTGAAAAGATGTATACATGTAAAAACATTATATTCAGATCAAAACTCTGGAAGGCACATACTTTCAGGCAAATCGATATTGCAGGAATGAGAAACAGTTCATAATCAGTCTAATGACTGACAAAATGGCAGTCATTACTGACAAAACAGGACATTAGAAAGGCTAATAAATGTATTGCTGTGGGAGCCACAACTAATAGAAGGTTTTTTTACTACCATAACTGTTAAAAACAGTAAAGGAGACAGTTAAGTGTGTAATGGTTAGCAAGTGAGTAACTGCACTTTATAACACAAATGTATTGAATACACCTTTTTCACATTTCTACTAGAAAGATTAAAGATTTGCATGCCTGAAAGAACTATCTGAAAAAAGGCCCTGCTTAATCTAACATTCTTATTTTAACCAATCAGCTGGACATCCAGTAGCACTTAAAGATTCAAAGATTTTGTTATATATTTTGCTTTAACTTGGATATTTCACATGCTCTTAAAACTGGGGTTGTTCTTACCAACTGGAAAAAAAAAAAACATGTTAAATCTATCCATTACAAAGATACTGAACAAGGCGAGTAGACAAATCAGTAAAACTTCTGAGATTATGGGAAAAACTAAATTTAAAGATCTTTATAGCAATAATCATCAGGGATTTAGAAATTATAGATGATCTTAATAAACTGCTAGTTTTCAATGCAAGACCAACAGTTGAAGAGGATACAAAACCTATGATATAGCACATTTCTAAAGAACTTTTGTTTGTGACTAGCAATGTCACATGATGTAGACCAAAGCAAGTTCAAAACAACCAACATCTTTACGCCATGATTTTTCCAGCTCCATTCACTTTGGTCCACTGCAAACTGAAATTTGCAGCCTTCCAAACACATTCTTCATGTACACCATCTTGTATATGATGCTGACTCAGTTTTAATCTCTTCTTCATAAACACATCAAAATTGTAACTTATTTCAAACTACTGTCATACCAAGTTAAAATGATTAAGTATTGGAAAAGCATCATTAAACAAGGTTTTGCTTCTGTTTCGGGATCTTATTTGAGTTATGAGAGAAGGTTGTGAGGAATTTGTTGATGCTTTAAAATAGAAACTGCAACTCCTGATTGTGTATAAGATGACACTGACTTCTGTAAAGCAACGTACTGGAAAAAGATGCAAAGCATTTAAAGCTAGTTCACAAAGGTCAAATGTGCTCAGATTACAAATTAAGTATGTATTACATAACAAAACAGGAGTGGGACAGCTATACTGATTGCAAAACAGCCACATCAGAGCCAAGAATTTCACAACAGCCTTACAAGTAAAACTACTTTTACAGAACACAAGTCACTCATACAAACAAGCAGAAGAAACCAATTTGTGCTTTACAGTTGAATCACTAAGTTGGATTATATTTTCAGTGGACAACTATTTGCACTGCTGTTATAAATTACAACAAAAGCAAGGAGCCTAGTGATCTAATTTTATTGAGTTTCTAACTAATTATTACCAACTCTTAAGCACACACTTAGACAATTAAGTACCTGAAATAACCTACAAAGACATTAATGTTCACACTTTTCAAACCCAATGAAGAATTAATAATACACACCAGGATAAGCTCAAAAAGTGTTCCCTGGTCAACTTTCAGGAACTCCTGATCCCACACAGGGATATCATCTGTTCTCTTCTCTTTGTTTTCATCATCTTCAGGAGGAGGGGGGTCATCTTTGTGATGAGTGCACCACTGAATCACCTAAACAATTAAAAGGAGAAAAACAAGTTTTCAGGAATCGGAAAGGAATTTTCAGATAAATTCATATATATTATTAATTTCAATTGTAATTATCTGAAGGGAGCATGGATACATTTCATACAGTACATACCAGAACATAGCAAAGAAACAGAATTCCCTGGAACTACAGGCTAATCTAACATCCAGCCGAAATGTTATAGCTACACTCACTACTTCATTATGAGAAACTATCCCGTGGAAAGACATGGGTGGTGCGGTGGCTCTGTGGTTAAGGATCTGTGTCTGTGGCTGGAAGGTTGCCGGTTTGTATCCTGTGGCCGGCAGAGGAATCCTACTCTGTTGGGCCCCTGAGCAAGGCCCTTAACCCCAACTGCTCCAGGGGCGCCGTATAAATGGCTGACCCTGCGCTCTGACCCCCAAACATTTTTCCCTGTCTCTATGTCTCATGGAGAGCAAGCTGGGGTATACGAAAAGACAAATTCCTAATGCAAGAAATTGTATATAAGACCATTTTATTAGCCATATGTACAGACATACTGTATTTAAAATTAGAAAATAAAAAACGTTACCTTTTTCAGAATAGCTGCATTAACATTGGGAAGTGGAACAGGATCATCATCACCTTCATCGTCCATGCCTAAGTCTGTGCCAAAATTAGCGAACACAGTATATCAATGTCAGAAAATGAGATCTACCTTCCAGCAGGTTTTCTAAAATTCTGAGGACCCATAAATGATCCAAAGGTCTGTTTACACAACCAGACTAGGCAACCATTGCAATTATTCATTTCACAGTTCCCCTTCTGGGGAAAAAAGGTAAAACAAACTTCTGTCCTTGAAGAAATAAACCTGTTAACTTCCAAGCTTTTCTTTTATGCAATCCTCTACATAATCCACTAAAAATAAACTTGTTTCTAGCTGTACACTACAATTCTCAACAGTAAAAAATCTTATTTCTTTTGCAGATTATAAAAAGTGAACAGAGCATATTACAACTAGGACACTCTCCTTAAAAATATAGCTTATATGTATCCTCTCAGACCCTTATCTAAAAAACTTTAAACTAAGGCCCATTATGCTTCCCCAAAATTCAGTTATTCAAAATAACTATAACAAAATAATGTAAAATTCTTGATAACTGACAACAGTCCCTTGTTTTCTAGCAAACAGCAACATGCTATGTTTGAGAGGAAAAAAAAATATTTCCTTAACAGTAACAAATTCAGTACTACAAAGTACTGCTTTGAGAAGTTCTTTCCTCTCACAAATCTCCTTTGGTTTTGTAAATTCATGTTTTAACAGTTTAAACAATGAAAACGTCATACACAGGAGTTTATGTGAACTTCTTACCTTCTAACATAGTCTTAATGGTTACAGACTGCTTCGCAATTTCAACATCAACTTCAAATATCTCTCCATCAGAACTCTGCAGTTTAATAGTAGGCATCTGAAAAGTAAATATGGTGGAGATTTTGTGACATCTAGCTAAAACTAAATGTTGTATTTAGCCCCAAGCACCTCAATACTGGACAGAAACGGCTTATGTTTTAAGTAAACAGAACATATTTAGTAATCGAGACGTTTGAGTACTACCATTATTTCAGTATTAAGTTATTTGTCAACGGATTTGAATGTGTACGTAAAAAAAAAAATCATTCTTGTCATAATGATGATGCATGATTTTCAGCGTAATGAAGCCACAAAACCGACTAAGCGGACACGATATTACTGAGCTCACGAATATACAGAAGAGACCAATTTGAAGGTCTTTTAAATATGCCTTTACAGGTTTCACTATACAAATAATGTAAAGACTACCCTTTGCTCTTTGTACAACCAATTTAGCTTTCTACCTTAGCATTTTGAAGAATGCCATTAATATCGTTACCACCACTTATACCCAAGGTTTCGCTAATTTAGAAACACACCACTATGGCTAAAAATCCATAATATAACTTTTTATATAACATATCTGAATTTAAAAAGCCAATTATTTAAACGTCAACACGGAACGTTTCTCGATAAAGAAAGCGCCTCACGAGAAAGGCCTCTCTTAGCAACAGTAATTCATTACAGTAAGCAGTTGTTGTTTTAAGCCAGACAGATAAATTGAGAGGTTGCTTAAAATAAAAAAAAACAACAAAACACGTATAGTATACATATCAATTCAGCTACTGACTTACGGTGAATATGGTATTATTTCACAAAAACAAGACGACACGATAGCAAGGCCCAAATACAGCAACTACTACTATAATCCGTTGCTTTTGTATGCGAAAGACGACGAAGTTAGCTGTCTTCTGATATTGCCGGTTTAATTTATGTCACGGCGGTCTATGTTTTTTTTAATTTGATTGACGTTGCATTAGTTTTAAACATTACCAGTTTGACTATTTATAAAATAATCTTACTTCTTTACTTTTAGATTTTCTGATTTAAAATATCTTCTTATTTATGGTTCAGGCAATCACCCAGACTGCAATCAGCGTTATTCTAGAATATGCAGTAAATGGAGGAGTGATGTGTCTTTTCAAAACGAAACCTCTTGGTCTTGCGTTTTCTGATCCTTTCAATTTTGAGTTTGTAAAATATCGGCTGTATTGTTAAATAATCCGATCATTCTTGCCACTTGTCGAAAAAAAATACTGCTATAAATATATTACTGTTTGAGTTGAGTCACTTTTTAACCTGAGTCCTTTGATTTATTCCATCAAACATTGTATTATTTGGGATTGATTCATATAGTTAAATAATTATCTACCCCGTAAATCACTGATGAGAGCTAAAAAATAAATTATATTGTTACTGATAACTAGATTTGGATACATTATAATAATGTTATGTGTATAATGATGTAATAACTAATTTGATGTTATAGGTTGCCTCTGATTTTTTTCATATCTAGGAAATTTGTGTTGATTAGGTTCACCTGTAGCTCTTCCTGCCACTTGCCTTATCACTACAGAGTGAAATTAATTTGACATTTCTAATTTTATTATTCTATTGTGTGTATGGGGATTAAAAGTGAACAATAACAATGCCCCATTATTGTTGAAGAATGTCATACCAGTACCAGTGCACGTTCAGATTACTTTTATTTCCAAAAAAGAGACAATTCCGGTTTAAGCCAAGATGTTTATTTTGTATTTGGGTGACACAGTGGTGCAGTGGTTAGCATTGCTGCCTTGCTGCTCTTAGGCCCTGAGCCCAGACCACTGAGCCCAGACCAGGGATGCTATCTGCGTGGGGTTTGCATGGGTTTTCTCCAGGTGCTCCAAAACCAGTCCAAAAACACACTGGTAAGTTAATTGGTTTTTTGGAAAACATGCCCTGATGTGAATGTGAGTGTGTGTATGTGTCTGTCTGCCTGCCTGCGAGGGTCTGGCATCCTGTCCAGAGTGTACCCTTGTTGCTTGCGGGTATAGGCTCTGGCTCTTCCACAACCCTGAATTAGAAGAAGCAGTTAGAAAATGGATGGATTTATTTTTTAACTATCTTAACTAGATAATTATGTTTGCTGGTGTGGCCAATCCTGGTGCAGGACTGTTGGTGAGTCTTCAGGATTTTATTCCATCTCTGATCTTATCCTAAATCAGCTCATTATTGACTTAATAGGACCACATCAACAATATTCCAGCTCTTCAGGTGCTGCTATTTCCAAGACACATAGTTAACCACTAGACACACCTGCCCTACTAGAGATATATTGCTTGTCCCTGTGATAAAGAATTATGTGGTCACTTATCTCAATCATTTCAGTAAGAGTGCTCTTTTATAATCTCAGTGAATTTCTTTGAATGATCTGTAAGACAAAATAAGAATTTTGTACCCAATTTGACAATCAAAAATTAGAAAACGATTCAACGATACTTTCACCAATATCCCCTCTAGAATAAATATATTTCTTTAAATATTTTGTATTTTCAGAAGTGCTAATGAATTGACGATGTAAGCCATCAGCCAAAATTCCTAACAGCAAAATGAATAATGCTTTTCAGCATCTAAACAGTCAATGTGGTAGTGAATACATTAACATGGTGGTAAAATGTCTAAGTCTAAATAAGAAAATCAAGTTTCTACTATTTAATGTGATATGGACATAAAAACACTTCTTTCACACTCTATTCATGTTTATAATCTTTATAATCTTTGGGGTTAATCTTTAAATGAATCATAATTAAGTGTGAATCCACATTTCTAGTAATACTGTTCTGGGTTTTAAAAATTGCGTAATTCAACTTTTAAGACACTTGGAACATGAGACAGATGTAGGCCGGTTGGCCACCAGATGGCAGGAGTAATCTTCAAAATGTGTAAGGATCACACCACCATATTTTTATTCCACATATATTATCCTTTTAGATTTCTAAACCCCAAGTAGAATTATTAAAGGAAAACATAGATTTGAAATCCTTAAGTGAAACAGCAAGAAATCCCAAAGTGAAACAGCAAACAATTACCTACAGAAAGAATACAGAATATCGACAAGTTTGTGAATCTTGAACACCCTTTAGACACACACCAGATCAATGATTACAGATCAGGTACTCATGACAAGTGTTCAGTCTTAAACGTGACACAGTGTAAAAAAAACATTGCGAGTTATCGGGTATGACTCCATTGCACATTAATGCAAACATGGCTTGCAGTGTTGACTTATACAGCAGATATTCTCTTGCTCTTCCTGTGCAAACTCAGCAAGTAGCGGAGGGCTGTCTCCTGTCAATGACATTGTTTTTCCCCACAGATGTCAAAAGATGCTCAGAACAGGAGAGAAAAGATGACAATGGCAAGATCTCACCTGTTCGTTAAGGGGTACCATAGGAATTTGAGCGATGTGCTGTCATTCTGTGAAAAAAGCCAACAATTCAAGACCGTCCTGTAGCAGCGAATAACAGAAGTGCAAGTGATCACATTACTCCTATCCTGGAGTCCTTGCACTGGTTTCCAGTCAGGTTTAGTGTCAACTTCAAAATTCTCATGCTCACCTGTAAGGCTCTCCATGGCTTAGCATCTCAGTACCTGTCTGAGCTACCATCGTCCTACCCCCACCTTGCAACCTCCACTCTTCTAATTCTGGTCTCCTATCTGTCCCCCAAGCCCATATACACACTATGAGTGAAAGGGCCTTCTCCTGTTGTTCCCCAAAATTTTGGAACTCTATCCCTTAGGATATCAGAGTCACCTTCCCTAAAATCTTTCAGATCTAGACTCAAAACCTTTCTCTTACTTAACTGGTTCTGTTATATACCCCTCTGCATATACCGTATTCAGTACTCCCATCTACCGTCTCCTCATTGTGTATTTAATCTTCCCGTTGTTCTGTAAAGCGCCTTGAGAACCACCTTTAAAGGCGTTACATAACATAATGTTTTTTATTATTATTGCAACAGAAAGAATTGATCAAAGTAGCTCTGAGAAGTAAGGTGTCCCTTAGTCTGCACCAGAGGTGTCCTTGTGTTGAAAGAGGTTCCTACTCTAGTCCTCAAATATTCACCACCCCACTGGTTGGCTTGAAAAACTCAACAATAAACATAGCACTCACCCCGACATTTCCACACACCCACTACCACCAGGTCTGTGAAGAGCAAAATGGCTCCACTAGTCTCTTCAGCACCACCAAAGTTGTGCTCTGGATCAGAGGATGGCGATTTCACCTCTTGGCTGTCAACATTACCCCACGAAGTATGCAGATCATGCAAATGCAGTCGATGGGCTGCAGTCATTGCACTGATGCACTGGTTCCTCGAGCCATTTCTCATGCTGTAGCCACTATAGTCTGAAAACCCTGCAGATGGATCATATGGAATTGACTTTCCTGGGTTGGTGTGGCGTGGCTTTGACTCCCAGAACATGAACTGTCTGTCAGTTTCTTGGTTTATCAAGTGAGTGAATAAGGAACAGCACACATAAAGGGTGAATGCCCAAACTGGGGTGATGACCACACCTGACAGCCTTCCTCTCCTAATTAAACAAATTCACTTTTTTTAATTTCTCAAATGTCACATATACTTTGAAGTCTCTACAAATTGATTTACGTGTGACCAGTAAAATGTGATAGGGTGTAATACTCTGTGGAGAGATGTAGCTATTCTTGCACTATACAAGTGTGAGTTTACCATGAATTAACCATAATCACCACCACCAATGATTTAAATAACTGCTTATCCATATCAGGATGGTGGAGCAGAGCCTTTACTGGGAAGCATTGGGTACAAGGCAGGATACACCAGTCAAGTGTAGTGCACACACAGACACAGACCCTCTCACACCAGGGCCAGTTTTACAGGAGACTTAACCTACTAGCACGTCTTTGGACTGTGGGAGGAAAGCAATGTGAATACAAGGAGAACATGCAAACTCCACACAGACAGCACCCCAGGAATTGAATGCAGGGCCCCATAGCTCCCCATGAGAGACAAAAGCTATCCTAGAAGCTGCCTCTGCATTCATCTGGTGAAAATGTGAGCTAATAACTGAGGTCTGGCTCACAAACAAAAAATCCAAATAATTGAGTCTAGGTTCTGATTATTTTATGTAACCAGAGTAAAATGTCAGTCTTTTATCTCGTCAGAACTATTATTAATTTGATAAACAATTTCAACTTCTGTTAATACTCTATACAGAAGGAAATGACCTAACAGATTTGTTCAAAATGGAAAAGGAATCACAAAGGTAGTCACACATGGAAACAGTTCTTCTAATTGCTGCCTTTCTTCAAGAACTGCTTACATTATTTGGACGTGAGCCATTCCAGTTTTTCTCAGCGTTTGATATTTAAATAATTGAAGCCAGATTGCATCCAAAGAGAAGGGATGTTATAAAACAGCTTGATTCAACCCCAGTTTTAAAAAGACAAACAGCCATTAAAACTCGACAAAGAACCCGGTTAGTTTCTGGCAACTTTTAAAGAAAACCGATTCTTTCAAAGATTTTGGAGGTTTTACCTGAAGGGGTACGCATTAAGACATGAGTTTACAAATACAGATCTCTGAAATGCAGCTTGACACAACACAGCTATGATTTTACAACAGGCTACATGAAAGTGTTCTGAAAAACACTAGGATACTGCTCCTACTGGCAAAATGAATTAAAGCACATGATTTGTGACACTTTCTTTCTCATACAGTAGACTTCAGTGAAGTTATGTTTGAGAGCGAGGACATGAAGTTAAAAGGCTACTGCCTGCCAATAAGTTTCTTGATTTACAAGACAGCACAATGAAGATGCAAATCCTGGCCCACTGCCTTTAACCCCCTTTGAGGTGCACGTCAACAGGACCATCTGGGTTAGAGAGGTTTCCACTTGGACTGCTGTGCATACAGATGAATCCCAAACAGCTCAATCCGGTAGTTTCACCCATTGCACTCCACAGATCAGATCTCGGAAACAAAGCAAAGTTCGGCCTCTTAAGTTCAGAAGACCTCAAAAAAAGAATATAGTAGGTTGCCCTTATAAGATGCGTGTTGGACCAGAATTTCCATACCAGTGACCTGGAGCTATAAAAGATGTTGTCCAACACGTGAAAATAAGATGCAGGCTATTTGGTCATTAAAGATGCAAATGCAATAGGTGTTCATCTCCTGGTGTCCTGGATAAATTCTACTTTTAGACAATCATAACTCCCTAAATTACCCCTTAAATCAGCTCAAGTCATTCTTTTCTCTTCCTGACCTGCTGTGTGATGATGGATCACTCATATGGATGCTACTCTTCCAGTGATAGTTGGTTCACTGCTATATAAAGAGCAGTTTAGGAT